TGTATGCCGCTGCTGCTCTGTCATCAGTGTGGTCAGACCTTGCCAAGGTCACAAAAGCCCAACGAAGCAGGCGCTCCTGTCTCCCCTTTTTACAGCGGAGGAGACTGGGGCACAGGCCAGTGGAAGTATTTGCTCAAGCAAACACAGCCCAGATGTGAGCAGCTGGGGCTAGAACCCTGGGCCTACCCACTGCCCATGCTGCCTCTGGGAAGCTGGCGAGGAGCTAGCTCTCTGTTGCCAGGTCTTCTCATCCTGGGCATTGGGTCCCTTTCCTGGGCCTACAGTGGCCCTCCCACCAAGAACACAGCTGGAGCAGTTCTGGTGAGGGGGTGTTCACAACAGGGTTTTGCAGGATGAGAAGAAGTTGACTAAGTGGCTGAAACCGGTTTGGCTCAGTGGATAGAGCGTCAGTCTATGGACTGAAAGGTCCTAGATTCGATTCCAGTCATGGGCATGTACCTTGGCTGTGGGTACATCCCCAGTAGGAGGTGTGCAGGAGGCAGCTGGTCGATGTTTCTCTCTCATTGATGTTTCTAGCTCTCTATCCCTCTCCCTTCCTCTCTGTAAAAAAATCAGTAAAATATATATTTTTTAAAAAAGATCCTTAACTTCATCACAGCTGCAAAAGCCCTTTAAAAAAAAAAAGAAGAAGTTGACTAAGTTGTCAAATAAAAGAAGGCCATTGGTTTGGGAAAGGGCATGACAAAGGCAATGAACAAAGTCTGTTTGAAGGCAAAGCTCACATCTACCTACTGACTGGGCTTAAGGAATTGTGACCCCAACTGCTTAGCACTGTGCACACATCCTCTTAACCAGCATTCTCACCAACCCCATGAGAACAGTATTACGATGGCCATCCCCCTTTTATAGACATAATATATATATATATATATATATATATATATATATATATATATATATTGATTTCAGAGAGGAAGGAAGAGGGAGAGAGATGGAAACACCAACGATGAGAGAGAGTCATGGATCGGCTGCCTCCTGCACACTCCCCACTGGGGATCAAACCCTCATCCCGGGCCTGTGCCCCGACCTGGAATTGAACCGTGACCTCCTGATTCATAGGTCAACACTCAACCCCTGAGCCACCCCAGCCAGGCCAGGTCCCTGTGCCTTTTAACTCCGCTTTAGGTTGCCAATGGTCCTGGCTCGTTGGGGAGTTCTGAGAAAGACGGGAGAAAGGAGTGTGGAGGCCTCGCTAGCGGCCAGGCCCGGGGGTGGGGTCGGACCAGGGGCTGGGGAATGCGTGCGGGTACCACTGGGCCCTGACAGGAGCGAAGGTGGCTGGGTGGCTGAGGAAGGAAAAGGCAGGGAAGACCTGCCATGAAGGGTCCGCCCTGGTGATTCAATAGCCACAGGCCACTTGCTGGGCACAGGCCCTTCCCATGGGCCCCTCACCTCGCGGACACACAGCCTAGAAGTGGGTGCTGGGTGCTGAAGCCGGGCTGTCCGGGTTCGAATACAGGCCCTACCACTGAGTTGCTGGGTAAGCTGGGGCTCATTCTTGCGCCTCCCTGAACCTCAGTTTCCTCGGGTGTCAGATGGGTGTCATGACAGTGCCCGCTTCGTGGCTGCTCCGGGGATCAAATAAATGAGCTCATGCGTGCATGGCCCAGGGAGCTTGATGGAAGCTGTTTTGCAAACGGGGAAACTGAGGCTCGGCGACGTCAGGCGTTTGCTGGAGGTGACCAGCTTGTTCAGAGGCAGAACTGGGACAGGGCATTTGGCCCAGGACATCTGACTCCGGAGGTGCTTTTTCTCCAGATGCATTATCATCCGTGGCCTCCCGAGGTCCCAGGGGTGGCCTTTGGGAAAGCCCGTGGGTCAGGGACCACAGATACTCGTGGCTCTTGGTCAGGGAGGAGGAGGAAGGGGGCAGAGGTGGGAGGGTGGCTCCCCAGTTTCTCCCTCGGCAGGCGGTCACCCAGGCCCCCAGTGGCGCCTCCTCCGCGCAGGTCCCGGGAGGCCCAGCAGTTTCCCTTGGTGCCAGGGGATTGTTTTCTGCTCCGTCTGGACCCGCCTCCGGCTCCAGGAGACAGGCCTGGGCGTCACACTCCCTCCTGTCTCCCCATTCTCGTCTGCGGGGTGGGGGCGGCCGGGATTCGAAAAGGCCCCAAAATAAATGGGCCTCTTATCTGATCTCCCAGGCTGGCCCGTTATCTGATCATTACATAATGGCCCGGCTGACGGCACGGAGGAGGTGGGGCAATCGGCAATCTGGGAGGAACTGGGGTTCCTGGAAGTCTGGGGAGGGGGCAGGGAAAGTCTGAAGGGGAGGAGGAAGCCGCTGTGCTAATCTGCAGACCAGACCCTGGGTCCTGCGGGGAGGGGGGGGCGAGGGGGGTCCGAGGCCCAGCCTGGTCCGCCACGTGCAGCTCCCGCACCGCACCGTTAGCCTCTCGGGCCTCCGTCTCCCCATCTCAGAGGAGGGGCCTGGACTAGGGCACAGCCAAGAAGGGTGTTCAGCGATTGGGAAAGGGAGAGGGTGGGGAGCTCCGAGCGGCTGGTGAGTCCCAGAGGGCGGTGCCACGGTTGAGTCCTGGGATGAGGGAGTTGGCTGGCCTGACTCCCACTTCAGACCCTCGCGGAGTCCCTCGCCCGAGGCCGCCCCCCTCCCCCACCAGGAGTCCGTTCTCCCGGGTGAAGCCCACCGGGCAGCTGTGATCAAAGAGCCAGCGGTGCTCTTCCCCGGGGAGTCCTCGCCGGCCTCTCCAGATCGGGCTTTCTCTTCGCGCTGTCCTCCCACAGCCAAGGAAACCGAAGCCCCAAGTGGAAAACTCATTCACCAAAGCCACTGGCTGTTGGGCCTGAGCTTCGCACCCAGGGCAGCCTGGCTGCAGGGACCTTGTTTTTTGTTGTTGTTGTTTTTAATTTTATTTATTTTTTATAGAGAGGAAGGGAGAGGGATAGAGAGTTAGAAACATCGATCAGCTGCCTCTTGCACACCCCCTACTGGGGATGTGCTGCAACCAAGGTACATGCCCTTAACCAGAATCGAACCTGGGACCTTTCAGTCCGCAGGCTGACGCTCTATCCACTGAGCCAAACCGGTTTCAGCGGGACCTTGTTTTTAACCAAAAGGCCGCATTACGCAGGCTGCCTGGAGTCCCTGGCACAGGACAGGTCCAGGCAGGGCACATGGTGGCCAGACGTCCCCTCCCCAGCTGCTGCTGGGAGATGGCGGCCACCTGATGCGCTGAGCCTGCCACGGGGCTGGTGGTCCCGGTGTCCTCTCTGACCTCTGGTGGATGGTCCCGATGTCCTCTGACCTCTGGTGGTCCCGATGTCCTCTGACCTCTGGAGGTCCCGGTGTCCTCTGACCTCTGGTTGATGGTCCTTATGTCCTCTGACCTCTGGTGGTCCCGGTGTCCTCTGACCTCTGGTGGATGGTCCTTATGTCCTCTGACCTCTGGTGGTCCCGATGTCCTCTGACCTCTGGTGGATGGTCCCTATGTCCTCTGACCTCTGGAGGTCCCAGTGTCCTCTGACCTCTGGAGGTCCCAGTGTCCTCTCTGACCTCTGGAGGTCCCGGTGTCCTCTCGGAGCCCTCGGCGGGCGGCGGAAAGGTGGGAGGGGGGGCAGGGCAGGCTGAGCGCTGATTCAGAAGAAGCCTCCCTGCTCCCCGCTCTGAGCTGGCGTCGGCTGGACGGCTGGACGTGCGACCAGTCCCTCCTCGCCCAACTTTGATCTCCAAGAAAACAGGAAGTGAGCGCGACAAGATGGAGACACAAACTTCCAAACAGTCTCCCCTCCTCTGTCCTCCTTCCCTCCCCGGAGCCCCCCTTCCCCGGCACATTCCTCAGGACGAGGTGTGGGGGCCTCATTTCCTCTTCCTCCTCTGCGGCTCAGGGTGAAATTCCATTCCCTTCCCTCAGGACCCGGCTTCCGGGCAGCCCCGTGGCAGGCTCCCGCCCGCCTGCCCACCGCCCGCCTGCCCACTGCCCCCTGCCCACCGCCCGGCCTGCCCACCGCCCCCCTGCCCACCGCCCCCTGCCCACCGCCCCCCTGCCCACCGCCCCCCTGCCCACCGCCCGGCCTGCCCACCGCCCCCTGCCCACCGCCCCCCTGCCCACCGCCCGCCTGCCCACCGCCCGCCTGCCCATCGCCTGCCCTACCCACCACCCACCCTGCCCACCGCCCCCTGCCCACCGCCCCCCTGCCCACCGCCCACCCTGCCCACCGCCCCCCTGCCCACCGCCCCCTGCCCACCGCCCCCCTGCCCACCGCCCAGCCTGCCCACCGCCCCCTGCCCACCGCCCCCCTGCCCACCGCCCCCCTGCCCACCGCCCGGCCTGCCCACCGCCCGCCTGCCCACCGCCCGCCTGCCCACCGTCCCCCTGCCCACCGCCTGCCCACTGCCCCCTGCCCACCGCCCCCCTGCCCACCGCCTGGCCTACCCACCGCCTGCAGCCTGGCCGCCCTCTGCCTCCCCCCTCTCAGGCGCTCAGCCCTCCTTGGCCCGTACCCCGGCCCCCTCGAGGCACAGGAGGGGGAGTTCTGTGTTCCAATCTCAGCTCTCACCTTCCTTCGGCGGGAACAGGACTGCAGGCTGGGGTGTGCCAACCCATGGCCTCCCCCGCCCCCCCGCCCGCCCGCCCCCCACACAATTGGAGTCACCAGGGCTAGCAAATAAAATACAGGGTGCCCCGTGACATTTGAGTTTCAGATAAACAACGGAAAGTTTTGGGATAAGTATATCCCAGGCAATATCTGGGCTACATTCATACTTTAAAACTTATTCGTATTTTTACTTACATATAACGGTGTCCTGCATTGTATCTATCCACCTGACACCTAGGAGCACTGTGGCTTCCGGCAAGAGACTTGTCCTTGCTGAGCCTCGGCTTCTTCATCTGCGGGATGGGTATGTTACCGCCTCGCAGGGTAGCTGTGAGGATGCAGTAAGGCCCGTGGGCGTTCAGAGGGCGGGCGGCATCGTCCCCGCCCGCTCTCACCGGCCCCTCTCCCCCGTGCCTCCCAAACAGGTCTTGCGGGAGCAGTCCGCTGCAATCTCCAGCCTGTGGACAGCGAGGTGACGTACGTCACCAGCCAGGTTCCTGAGGGCTGCGTGGCACACGTGCCCAACGCCACCGTCGATGTCCACGTCCTCTTCTTGGAGTTCCCCAGAGTGAGTGCCGGATGGCGGGGTGGGGGAGGGACTCAGAGGTCGGCCCGGGCCGAGTCCTCCCCAGGGACCCTGCCAGGAGGGAGGCCTGACCATCTCACAGGGCCAGCGTGGGGAGCAGGCCCCCCAATATTGGGGCCTCTGGCCGTCACCACGCGGCCCGGGCAGGAGGGCCGGGCTGGCCGCGGTCGGGTGGAGAAGAGCCGGGGGGCGGGGGGTGGCCAGGGGAGTTGTGGCTTCTGCATCCCCAGCGCCGGGAGCTCCTCAGCAGACACAGCCCCGCTAGGGGCAGCGCTGACTTTGCGGAAGTTCTCTCCTCCGTGGGGCCTCCGATCCCCCCTGGAGAGTCCTTCTCCGAACACCTGGGCCTGGCGAGCAGCCCCTCGCCGCAGACTGAAGCCAGCGATGCCCCTGCCCCAGAACCCCTGAGTTCTTCGAAGTCCCGCCCAATAGCACACCTACTGAGTGTTCACTGTGCTAGGTACCGTGCTAGGCCGACTATGTGCAGGAAGTGAGTTTAAAACCCTGACATCTATTCAATCTCCCCTGGGCCCATCTGGCAGGGTCTGTTATGAACCCCATTTTCCAGAGGAGGAAACTGAGGCAGGCCTAGAGAGGCAAAGCAATGTGTCCACGGCCAGAGTTCACACGAGATCCCCGGGGACCCCCAGCCAGGCCACCCCTTGGCCCCCAGGGGACTCCGTGTCCGGGCGTCCGGGCTGATGACCACACCTGGCCCGTGTGGCCTCGGGGCCTGATAGCGACTCAGTGGTGTCACTCAGAGTGAGCTTGTGGCCAACTGGCCCCTGAAACTGTTAGGGTGCCCTGCGTTTGTGCGGTGATAAGACGGTTCCCAGACCACCAGTATCGGGGGGCCTGCTCCCCACCGCCCTGCCTGCCCCGAGGACTGTGGGGCTCGATAACCCCAAACTGCAGATAGTGCCAGCACACGGCGTGTGGTTTGCGTGGCCATTGTAATTTTTTTTCAAGTTGGGGATGCTGTGGAGAACGAGATTGCCCTCTGCTTGTTCTGCTGTTGGGTCTCCGGCCTCCTCTGGGTGACGGGGACCCCCCTCCCCCCACTCCCCTCCCCCAATCAATCCACAGTGAGCCAGAGTCAGAGAGAGGCCACCTGCCAAGCACCCAGGGCTGGAGCGGCAGGTGTGTGGACAGCCAGCCAGGGCCCGGGCGATGGACACCTCCTTGCTCAGCACAGGGCAGGGGTGCTCCGCTGCTGTGGGGCTTGGGAGGGCTTCCTGGAGGAAGCAACCACAGTAAGCTCGTGAGCGAAGGCAGCGGAGGGAAGAGCAGAGGGTAAAGGGGATGCACAGGCAGGGAGGTGGCCGAGGCTGTGGTCAGCGCGTGGTTGGCTGCGGCCGTGGCATAGAGTTGGCCTCGGGGCAGGGCTGGGGAGTTTGGTCTTTCTCCTGAGGGCAGTGACGTCCCTGCAGGGCGGGCCGGGGAATGGCAGGTGCCCTGTGACTCACCATCTGAGAGCTCAGGACAGCAGACCCTCCCTGCCCCCATGGGCGTCTGGCGTGTGGTTCCGGGGCGGGCTGCAGGCTCTAGGACTGCGGCAGGTGCGTTGGGGGGTGGGGGGAGCGCTGGGATTGGAGGGTTCAGGGCTCCAGTCCTGGATATATCACTGGCCAGCACCTCGTATACTTCTCCCCACTCTCCAGTAGACACACATTTCCTATGCTCAGGGACCCACCACAGAGTCTGGGAGTCTGGGGATCTGGGCCCGGGCCTGGCGTGTGCCCAGCGGCTGTTGAAGGTCTGAGTGAGGGAGGAATGGGGACAGACATGCATGCTATGTGGCCTTGGTGGCCTTGGCGAAGGGCTTAGGAACATGGCTCTGGAGCCAGCTCGCCTTCCAGTGGAACTTGGGCTCCTCCACGTATGACAGCGCAGCTTTGGACTGCCTCTCCGAGCCTTGGTTTTCCAGGGTGAGACCTGGAGACCCCAGTCCGCCCCCAGGGGCCTGTGGGAGTCCATGGGGCAGCGCAGGCCACCCAGGGGCCGGCTTGTCTTTATACCGGCTGCTCTCGGGGCTCCGGTCTCACCGGTGACTACCTCCCGGTGCCCGGCACGCTACAGAGCAGCCTCAGAGCACATCAGAAATTAGCTGGATCCCCGGAGGTCCTTGCCATCAGGTGGCGGAGGCCGGGGCTGAGCGTCCGCTTTCAGAGGGGGGCCTGCGGTCCCGCCTGCCGGAGCCCGTCTGCCCCCTGGGGCTCCTGGCCCGGGTGCCTCGCCCAGCAGCCGGTCTCCCCGATCCTCCTGCTGTGACACCGAGGGGCCTGCGGCCCCTGGGCAGCCCCTCCTCCCCAGGCAGCACCCAAGAACGAAGTCCCGGGCTCCCTACCCCGCCCCCCCCCCCAACCAGTCCTTGCCAGGTGCCTGCTCTGTGCCCAGCCTGAGTTGGGCACTGGTGGTGCCGAGAGAAAGCGGACGTGGGCACTGCCCTTGGCCACTTCTAGGCCAAGGTGGGTGTCAGCATGGATTCAGTGATGGAGTCGGCGATGGGGGACCCTGGGCGGAGGGGGCTGTGGACCCGGGAGGACAAGCACCGAACGTGGAGGGAAGGGGACCTCAGGGAAGCGGCTCCCCGTAGCCAGACAGAGAGGGAGGTCACGGGCGTCCGGGCAAAGGCTTAAAGGCAAGAGGCACGGGCTGGCGGCCATCCCAGCCCCCAGCCCAGTCTCCCCCGACCTGCGGGCACGTTCCTCGGCGCTGGCACAGCGCCCCGCTTTCCCGTCCATCCCCGCGTGGCCTGGATCCTCAGATTTCCTGTGCGTGGGCGGCACAGGAACTTGGCAGCCGAGAGCCTCAGGGAAGAGAGGTCCAGAGAGAGAGGGGGAGTGTGTGCGTTGGGGAGGATTACAGACAGACGAGGGGGCCGCTGGCTGGGGCTCCGTCTCGCTGGGTCCCCGAAGGGCAGGCCGGAGCCGGGATTCCGGGAGGGGCCCCGGGTCACATCCTGACCCTCGGAGACAGGAAACCAGCCTGGTGTCTCAGAGGTTCCCGTCAGGCCGGCTGGGCTGACCCGCTGTCCTCCCAGCAAACCCCCGCCGCCGGGCCAGAGCTGGGACAGCCGGTGATTCACCCCACTTCTGGGCGAACTCGGGGAGCAGAGCACGCCCCCCACAAGCCGATGGAGCCCGCTGGGCTCTTGCACTGACTTACTCCTGGCCTGAGGGGCAGCTGGGCTGCTCAGACAGGGAGAGCAGGGGGCCCCAGGCTCCCCCAGAACGTCCTGGGAGGTTGTGCCCTCCGACCTGGGCAAAGGGGTCCCGCCCGGCCCCCAGTTAGATCCTCGCTGGCCTCTCCCAGCTGGGGAGCCTAGCACCCAGAGACCCCTTCGAACGCACCGCGCCTACGCCCCCAGCGGCACCGGCTCTCTCGTCCCGTCCTCCACGCGGACACTGCGGGGCTGGCTAAGCTCCGCTCAGCCTGACGGCCGTCAGGGTGACCACTGCAGGGGGTGGGAATGGCAGAGCTGGGCATCTTCACATCGAACACGTGGGGAGAAGGGGGTGGCCTGGGAGCCAGGGCTGCCATTTGTACCCTTGCCCCAGGCCTTGCAGGTATGAGGGGCAGGCTTGGTGGAGGGGCATGGTTTGGGGGTCGGACAGGCTAGGCAGGGGTGGCGTCTGCTCTCACTGCTATATCCCCAGTGTCCGGGTCAGGGTCATCTGGGAATAAATATTGGATGGATAGATGGACGGACGGACGGATGGATGGTGGATGGATGGATGGATGGATAGACGGACGACGGACAGATGGATGGATGGATGGACGGATGGATGGTGGGTGGATGGATGGACGGACGGATGGATGGATGGATGGACGGATGACGGACGGATGGATGGATGGATGGTGGATGGATGGATGGACGGATGGATAGATGGATGGACTGACGGACGGATGGATGGGCGGACAGATGGACAGACGGATGGATGGATGGTGGATGGATGGATGGACGGACGAATGGATGGATGGTGGATGGATGGATGGATGGATGGATGCATGGACGGATGGACGGACGGACGGATGGACGGATGGTGGATGGATGGACGGACGGACGGACGAATGGATGGATGGTGGATGGATGGACGGATGGATGCATGGATGGACGGATGGACGAATGGACGGATGGTGGATGGATGGACGGACGGACGGACGAATGGATGGATGGTGGATGGATGGACGGATGGATGCATGGATGGACGGACGGACGGATGGACGGATGGACAGGTGGATGGTGGATGGACGGACGGACGGATGGACGGACGGACGGATGGACGGACGGACGGACGGATGGTGGATGGTGGGTGGATGGATGGGTGAGTGAATAATGGGAGAAAGGAGGGGAAGGGCACACACATATAAACATTTGCTGCTGGCCATTCCCAAGGGGTTAGTGGTGTCGCTTGTCCTTCATTACCGGTGGTTTGGGAGTGTTCCTCTTGTCCTCTGCCAAGGTCTGACGATGGAGCTGTGCCTCCTTTCTGTCCCCACTGAGAGCACAGGAGCCCTCGCTGGGCCCAGTTCGGCCAAATGAAGTGGGGGTGAAAGTGGGGGCGCAGGCTGGCCAGGGCCCTCAGCTGGGGAAGGTAGCGTCTCTCCCCTGGGGGTTCCGGAAGCCACTCCTGTGGCCACTTGGCTGGAGATCACGCCTCCCGATGTCAAACTCTGGAATCCCTAGGAGGCAGGATGGAATCGGGCCACACTGATCCCACTCCCCCCTGCACAGATGGGGAGGCCGAGGCTCAGAGGGGGTGCACAGTGAGGTGTGACCGAGGCATGTCCCAGCCCCAGCTCCCTGCTGCCCACCGCTACGCTGACCTCCGCAGGCGCAAACCATGGCACCTCTGGGTGAACGGGCGGGAGGGATGGGCATCTGCTGCTCTGTGTAGGTGGGCACCGGACAGCTCACTGTGCAGGCAGAGCCTCACGGAATCCTCAAAGGTCTATGCACTGGGCATAGTGTTCAGCCCGTTTTCCAGATCAGGAAACCGAGGCCCAGAGAGACCTAACTGCCCAGGGCCACCGGTTTGAATTCAGGTCAGCCTGGCTGTGAGCCCTGCCCCTGCCAGCCCGCCTGTCTGTGCCATCTGAGTCTGCCGGGCTGGACGGAGGGACGTCTGGCTCCACTCCGCCCGGCTCCAGTCTGACCGAGGAGGGCGGGAGCCGCAGGCAGCCCCGAGACTCTGCTCCTAGAAGAATTGCTGGAAGCAGCTTTCTATAAGTGGCTACTAGCGCGCAGGGCCTCCTCTCCGAAATCCCCCTTCCCGCCAACAATGGCCTCTGTGGGACACTGGCACCAAAATAGAAACGTGGTCTCCCGCCCGCCCATTCAGGGACGAGGCCGGGGAGACCCAGGCCGGCCGGCCGGGGCTAAGGGCTGGTGCTCAGGATCCCCAGGATGCCTCGGGAGGACTGGGGGCGTGCGGTGGGGGGCGGGCGGGCCCCTGTCTTTGCCGGCGGGCTGCGGCGGGGAGGGAGGGGGAAGTCGGACTGCGTGTGAGTGGCCGGTGGTGAGTCAGGGCCACGGGCTGGAAATGTTCGCTGTGGAAACCCAGGCTGGGCTTTTCTCGTAACCGGCTGCTCTCCCCGGGCTGGGAGCTCAGAGGGGGACAGCCCGCTTCCAGCCTCCCCGCAGGTCCACGCCGCTCGCCGGCTGAGGGGCCCTGGCCTGGACGATCTGGCTCAGACCCCCCTCCAGCCCCCAGAGCCACAGGGAGGGGCTTGTGACGCGGAGTGGGCGTTCGGGGTGAGCTCTGGGAGAAGAGCTGAGTGCGGTGGCAAAGGTTCCTCTCTTCTCTCCCCTCGTCCTCAGCATGACCCGACCCTGACCTCCACTTCTCTTTTTTTTTTTTAAATATGTATTTATTTATTTTTAGAGAGAAAGAGAGAGAGAGAAGTACCGATGAGAGAGAGAAACATCACTCTGCTGCCTCCTACACGCCCCCTACTGGGGATGGAGCCCACAACCCGGGCACGTGCCCTAACCGGGAGTCGAACCTGGGACCTCTTGGTCCATGGAGCGATGCTCAATCCACTGGGCCACACCAGTTGGACTCTGCTTCTCTTTTTTTTATTTCCTTTATCCAGAGCCCCGCCTGATGTTGGTTCCTAACCTCGTCCTATCCCTGTTACACAGATAGGGAAACTGAGGCACGGGGGAACAGGGGTATTTGCAGAACAGCAGCAAGAATGTTTTCCTCCCAGTCCAGGGGCTACGCTCCCAGCTGCTCTGTCACCTGCAGTGCCCTCTGCCTGTGGGTGTTCACCGGGGGCCAAAGCATGGACCTCCGGACAATGGGGTCCGTCGGTTTGCCGTGTCTCAGTGCTCGCTCCGCTGGGTGGTTTGGGGCAGATCTGGGGGAGAGAAGACAAGACGAGCTGCCCAGAGGTCTGGCACCAGGCTGGCTTGCCCTGGCTGCCTGACTTGGCCCCTCTCCCTCCGGCTGCTCCCCGAGCCTCACTGGCTGCATCTGTAAAATGGGAGAACGCCCACCCCCTTCGGTGAGAGGCGTGCCTCCTGCTCAGCGCAGGGCCGGCCAGGCGTGAGGCTGACCCACGTTGTGTATGTGAACCGCTTTACTGAGATAAAACCAGTCCGTTTGAGAGGCACCGCTGTGTGGTGGGCAGCGCCTGGGCAGAGCTGTGCGAGCACGTCCCGTTGTAGCTGACGGTGCCCGCAGTCACGGTAAGAAGCTGGGTCCCATCGCCCGGGGCCTGGCAGCTCGGCTGTGCCGGCCTCTCTCTCCCCCGCGAGGTGGCTCTCCTTCTCTCCCACTCACTTCGAGCGACGACACAATCCTGGGACCAAGTGGCAGTTCACATACTTATATTTGTATCTCACATTTGACCAAAATAGGATATTAAACCTAGTACTTCATTTCTGAAGGTTTTTTATTTTATTTTATTATTATTATTATTATTTTTTATTGATTTCAGAGAGAAAGGGAGAGGGAGAGAGAGACAGAAACATTAATGATGAGAGCATCATGGATCGGCTGCCTCCTGCACGGCCTAAACCCAGTACTTCATTTCTGAAGTTTAGAATGCGTCGCATTTTTGAAAACTGATGAAACGTGAGATTTCAAAAATCAAAAGTTATAAACCCACCCGACAACATCAATGAACAAAAATTGTGAACTTACACATAAATGTCAGTCGTTCTGCTATAAATTAGCATAAAAAGAATCCTTCAAAAACAAGCTCCCTAAATAGCTCCCTGAAATGAAAAAAGAAAAAGAAAAAAAGTGACTTGTGAAACATTGGAAATGGAACGGCATTTGCTCTTTTGTTTTAAGGCACAAACGCACAAACAAAGAGCGACTAGGGTGTCATTCCTGAGGAGCGGAAACTTTTCTCGGCAAATTTTCCAGCGGCTGAAGCATTCTGTCCGGCTCTGTGACATCATTTGGGGAAATGACCAGGAGATAATGAGAGGTTAAACAAAATTTTCCACGGATCTCTCCGTCTTGCAATCTCTCCCTCGTGTTTGATAAGTTCGAGGAGATGTTTGGGGTCCGGCTGTGTCTTTGCGGAGATCCCCAGCTTTTGAGAGCAGCTGGAGTCAGGGTTTTGGTAAACTGGTCCAGGAAGCCTCCCGGTAGAGCAGATGGCCCTTCAGTAGAAGCTTTGCATCTGTGGATCGCCGCATTCTCTTTTCTCCTTGGGAATAAAAAGGCCTGGGAAAATGTGGCTGGCTGGACAGTGGCCTGCCCGGGACCACATCCTAAGCTCCGTACTTATTTGCTGTGTGTTCGTGGGCAAGTGACTTCACCTCTCTGTGCCTTGTTTCCTCGTCTGTGAGACTAATAATGGTACCTACCTCTTGGGAGTTATTAGATAAAGTACTTAGAACAGTCCTGGCACATAGTAAGCACTATATGTGTTGCTGTTGTTGTTGTTATTATTATTATTATTGTTATCTGTTGTTGTTATTTGCTGTTGTTCTGGAAGCATTCTAAATACATACACCATGATCAATTAAAAATTTTAATGCAGCACCTATCTCTCAAGATATAAATAATCACAACTTCACATTCTTAAAAATGTCAAGACCATGGTAGTATATTGACAAAAAGAGGAGCATTTTAGTACTTTAATATAAAAAGGTCAGCCTGGCTGGGGTTGCTCAGTGGATAAGCATCGCCCTAGGAACCAGGAGATCACGGTGTGATTCCTGGTCGGGCCACATGCCCTGGCTGCAGGCTCCATGCCCATCCCCGATAGGAGGTGTCCAAGAGGCAGCCGATCAAGGATTCTCTCTCATCGTTGATGTTTCTATCTCTCTCTCTCCCTCTCCCTTCCTCTCTGAAATCAACAAAAAAATATTGTTTTAAAATAACAAGGCCAACAGGAATATTGCACACTGGGGAGGAGTTGATGCCTGGGGTACTGCCGCTTAGGGACAGAGGACAGGCCCGGGGTGCCCGCTGGGTCACACGGACACTGGCAGGCCTGGTACCCAGCAGGTGCTCCACAGGAACAAACCTTGGTCAGGCCCAGCGCGTCTTTTTCTTCACATCTTTGGGTTTGCTGAGACGAGCCCCCTTCATTCAGGCAGCAAGTGTTTTCCTGAGCACGCTTTAGGGCCGGGCACTGTGCTGGGCCCTGGCAGGCAGGGCGGACAGGCCGGGCAGGGAGAGCTGCGTGGAGGCCGATGGGACAGGGGTTGTCACTACCGCTCTGGGGGGCGCAGTCTACGTCAGCCTGACTGGCCTGTGTGTGTGTGTGTCTTTCCCCTGCCCACACCCAGGCTCCGGCCCTGCTGAACCTGACCGTCCAGATGTCCAAGCAGAATGGCAGCCAGGCCCGAGAGGTGCTTCTGGTCCTCGGCCTAGACAAGAGAGTCTACCTGCAGCTGCAGGCCCCCGGAATCCCGCTCCAGCTGGCTTATGTGAGTTACCCCACACCCCGGTGAATCCTGCAGGGCCCACACAGAGAGAACCCAAAAGGCAGCAGGGTTGGAGGCGAAGAGTTTCAACCTGGAGATGGGATTCAGGCGGACGGGCAGCCCTGGGCAGCTCCTCAGTTTTCCCATCTGGCAGGTGGGAGAGCTGGGCTCGGTGACATCCCATCAAATAATCTTGTCACTGTCTTTGAAAAAAAATCCCAAGTCGTATGTTTGAAGATGTTTATTTTTTTAAAATATATTTTATTGATTTTACACAGAGAGGAACTGAGAGAGAGAGAGAGAGAGAGAGAGAGAGAGAGAGAGAGTTAGAAACGTCGATGAGAGAGAAACATCCATCAGCTGCCTCTTGCACACCCCACCACTGGGGATGTGCCCACAACCAAGGTACATGCCCTTGACCAGAATCGAACCCGGGACATTTCAGTCCGCAGGCCGACGCTCTATCCACTGAGCCACACCGGTTTCGGCTGAAGATGTTTAAGTAGAGACAAGGGGTCAGGAGGAAACCTGACAGGGTAGTGACGGTCGTTATGGCTGGAAGGAGGGAGGGTGAGACATTTATTTTGCTCTTCGCACTTGGTTGAATCTGCAAGACTTGCTCTAATGAACAAGTGGCCTACGCTGGGGGAAAATTTTTATTTTTTATTTTTTTAATTAAATTATTATCTGTGTACATATACCATTGCGGGCCCCCCTCCCCATACATGCCTTCCCTCCCCAGAGTTTTGTGTCCATTAGTTGTATTTATATGCATTATACAAGTCCTTCGGTTGATCTCTTATTTTCCCCAGATCTCCCTCCCCTCCCCGCTGTAATTTGACAGTCTGCTTGTTGCTTTACTGTCTCTATATCTATCTTTTGGTTCATCAGTTTATAATGTTCTTTATTATCCATAAATGAGTGAGGTCATGTGGTGTTTCTCTTTCATTGACTGGCTTATTTCACTCAACATGATGTTCTCCATCCAGATTGCTGCAAATGATGAGAATCCCTTCTTTTTAATGGCAGCATAATATTCCATTGTGTAGATGTACCATAGTTTTGGATCCAATCATCTGCTGATGGGCACCTAGGCTGTTTCCAAATCCTAGCTATTGTAGATTGTGCTGCTATGAACATAGGGGTGCATATGTCCTTTCTGATTGGTGTTTCTAGTTTCTTGGGATATATTCCTAGGTGTGGGATTACTGGGTCAAATGGGAGTTCCATTTTCAGTTTTTTGAGGAAACTCCATATTGTTCTCCACAGTGGTTGCACCCCACCAGTCTGCATTCCCACCAGCAGTGCACGAGGGTTCCTTTTTTCCACAACCTCGCCAACACTTGTCGTTTGTTGATTTGTTGATGTTGGCCATTCTGACAGGTGTGAGATGGTACCGCATTGTTGTTTTGATTTGCATCTCTCAAAAATTATTTTTTAAAAACTCACATTTTAAAGAGAAGGGGTAGCCGAAACCGGTTTGGCTCAATGGATAGAGCGTCGGCTTGCGGACTGAAGGGTCCCAGGTTTGATTCTGGCCAAGGGCATGTACCTTGGTTGCGGGCACATCCCTAGTGCGGGGTGTGCAGGATGCAGCTGATCGATGATTCTCTCTCATCGATGTTTCTGGCTCTCTGTCCCTCTCTCTTCCTCTCTATGAAAAATCAATAAAATTAAATAAATGAATAAATAAATAATAAAAAAATAAAGAGAAGGGGTAACCTGCAGGGACTCCCAGCAAGGGGGCTCAGGGCTCCTTCTCTCACGTGAGAGGCCTTAGGAAGTGACCCCCAGATGTGAGCAGCTGTTGGTTACAGCCAGAGAAAGCAGGGTGGGGGTGTGAGGACTGAGGACAGCAAATATGACGGGGTGGGGAGAGGACGAGACAGAAAGGAAAATGGAAATGGAAAAAGGAGGACCCATGTGGGAGGGACAGCCAGACACCCAAAGTCCAGGGACAGAGGTGGGGGAGATAGGGAGTAGGGGCAGGAGGAAGAGCCAAATCCAAGCTGATTGGGAGCCGGGCCCAGGGGCAGAGTGAGGTTGGGGGTGGGGAGGGTGTGCTGCGGGAAGAATCCAGACTGGCAGCGGGTGCCAGGGAGACAGACAGAGAGGGCCGGCCTGACAGATCTGGGAGGGGAAGAAGCCAGCTGGAAGGGTGGAGCTAGGCCACCCCCATTGGGTGCGTCCCTCTGCTCCCTGTGCCCGATGGCTGCCTCCCTAACTACCTCCTGGCCTCCTGCTTGGGACAGAGGACTCAGGCAAGGAAACAGCACCCTGAGCCTCCGCGTGTCTCCCCAGCACCCCGAGAATGTCATCAACGAAATACCCCAAGGAATCAACACCATATTTCTGCCGGCCTCCAAGAGCGAGCTCCTCGCCTGGGCGGGTTCCAAGGGCGCCATCGCCTCCGTCGCTGTGCTGAACAACCCCAAGAGCATCCTCCTCCGCCCGGACCAAGGTCAGCCTCTCCCGCAGCCACCCTGGGCCCGGCCGGAGGGATCCGGATTCCCCTGCCGGGTCCTCCGGCGGGGACGCCAGCCGCCCAGCAGGCCACGCTGTGCCCCAGGCCACATCGAGCAAGCTGTGGCTCTACTCAGCAAATCTGAGCGGGAGCCGTGGGACATGGCTACTGGTCCGTTTTTTGAGCCAGAAAAACAGCTCGTTCGTATTATTTATTGTGTGCACCTATAATACTATGTGCCAAGCCCTGTGCCGGGCATTTGGAGACTCTCTGGGAACAGACACAGCCCCTGGTGGGGAGATAACGACACCGATAAGTACGTCATGGGCAGTGAGGGGCTTCGTCCCTAACATGTGCCGAGCTCAGCCCTGTGTGAGTCCTGGGCTGATGACAAGGAAACAGAGGCGGGGGGACTTGCCAGGAGTCTCTGGGCAGTAAGCGGTGAAGGGGAGATTTGAACCCCAGTCCTCCCATGCCCCCCACTTCCCATGCCCCATCCTGTCTGCCCCAGCTTCACAGTGGGGAAGGGTGGGCCTCGGTGTCAGGGGCCGGCTGCTCAGGGAGGGGACTAAGGACGCTTGTCTCTGCAGCCCCGCGGTCACCGTCCTCCTGCGACCTCCAGCCCAACACGGACATGGGCCACAGGCTCGAGTGGTGGCCGCACACAGAGGGCTCCGTCCGCAGCTGCCGCCTGGAGGGTGTGGCTGGCCACAAGCAGGCGCACATCCTGAGGGTCCTGCCGGGCTCCGGCTCCGAGGACAGGTAAGGGTGCCCGGCCCCTCCCCTCCTGAGCCCCCCTCTGCCCCCTTCCCCTCCAGGAAAGAATAGAGTTGCCGCCGAAACCGGTTTGGCTCAGTGGATAGAGCGTTGGCCTGCGGACTCAAGGGTCCCGGGTTCGATTCTGGTCAAGGGCATGTACCTTGGTTGCGGGTACATCCCCAGTCGGGGGCGTGCAAGAGGCAGCTGATCGATGATTTTCTCTCATCGATGTTTCGCACCCTCTCTCTCTCTCTCCCTTCCTCTCTGTAAAAAAAATCAATAAAAGGAAAAAAAGAAAAAGAAAAAGAAAAAGAAGTTGCCCCACCTCTCTCTGGGCCCCGCCCCTGTGAGCCCAAGCCCCGCCCATTTCCACTTCCTTTCCTCACACCCCCATCCCACCAGGGAACCGCCTTGTACCCACTTGGCCTGCCCCCCAGGACCCTCCCAACCCGGCCTTCCCGCCAGCTGACGGGCGGGCTGTGGTCTGTCTCCCGCAGGCCCCGGACGGTGACCGTGGAGGTGAAGCTGAGCTGCACTTCGGGGGACCCTGATGCTGTGCTCATCCTGCAGGGGCCCCCCTACGTGTCCTGGCTCATCGACGCCAACCACAGCATGCAGATCTGGGTAAGTCTGGCTCCCGGACCCTGGCGGCCCTGCCGGCCTCTCCACGGCTCCCGAAGGAGAGGACCCGGACGCCCTGCACCCAATGGTGTCCCTTCTGGCCCCACCCTGGCCCTCTGGTCACTACCCAGCCTTCCTTCAGACCTACGTGCCGCCTCCCCCAGGCAGCTTTCCGCCATCTCCTTGGGAGGCCCTGAACCCAGTGATCGGCAAACGGCTGCTCGCAAGCCACATGCGGCTCTTTGGCCCCTTGAGTGTGGCTCTTCCACAAAACGCCCCGGCCTGGGCGAGTCTGTTTTGAAGAGGTGGCGTTAGAAGTTGAAGTTGAAAAAGTGTGGCTCTCCAAAGAATTGTCAATCGTTGTCCTGTTGATATTTGGCTCTGTTGACTGCTGAGTTTGCCGACCACTGCCTTCACCCCGCCCACAGGCTCATGGGAAGCTCCTAGAAAAGCGAACCCCATGCTGAACTGAAGGACAAACAGTAGGGGGCCCTGGCAGGGAAAACAGCAGGAGCAAAGGCAGAACCGTGGCCGGGCTGGGGCGCGGGGCCAGGCTGTGTGCCCGACTCGGAGCCCCTGCCATGCCTCTCTCCCCTCCTCAGGCCACTGGCAAATACTCCCTCAAGATCTTTCCAGACAAGAGCATCAACGACCACAACCACGTGCTCCCAGACACACCCCAAGGCCTGCTCGGGGAGGCCGAGAGGCTCAACGCCAGCGTGGTGGCGTCCTTCGTGGAGGTCCCTCTGGCCAGCGTCATCTCTCTGCAGGCCAGCAGCTGTGGTGGGTCCCGGCTCCTTCCCCTCCCCTCCTGCCTGCCTTTGCCCGCTCCCCGATCAGCAGCCACGGCGTGGTGTGCACCCCTTCCCCGTGCGAGCCTGGCAGGTCGCATCAGCCCGGGGGAGCCCCACTGTCCTCTCCTGCAAACACGGGGACGGCGAGAGCCGCTCCCTGCAGACAGCTCAGTGCCTGTCCTGCCCGCTCTGCTGCCCGCAGGTAGGCCGCAGACGTCACCCACCCCTGTGCACACCACCCCCCCCAAGGAGAGCTGCAACGCGGACCTGCTCATGGCCCTGCTCCAGCCCAACTGCTCCGACGACACCATGACTCTGGAGCTCAAGAAAAACCTTATCTTGGTAAGGGAGTCCCTGCCCCTCCGGCCTGGCTGACAGGGCCCACCTGGTCCCTCCTCTGACCGAAGAATCTTGGGGTCCTGGCCCTGGATGTCTCACATCCTTCCCAAGTTTCGGTTTTTCCCGCGTGTAAAACGGGGTTGAAAATGGCTCCTGCCGTGTGGTGAGAATGAAATGAGCCTGGCACGCCGAGCCGGCTGTGTGCACAGGAAGTGCTCAGTACATAGCTGCGAGGTCGTTGGCAGTCCTCATCCTGAAAGCACGCTGAGCCGGGTGCTCACTTATAATACCCCACGGGACGAAGAACAAGGGTATTTATTAAACAACCAGAGGTGCGGGGCATGAGTTCGAGCCAGCCCACCCCCGATCCAGCCGGATTGGGCCTGGCCCCGCCCCCTGGTCAAACTCCCAGTGGAGGGGACAATTTGCATATTAGCCTTTTATTATATAGGATTGTATAGTATAACGCAGGCTTTAGACGATGTGGGAAAAGTAAAGAAGGAAATCTCAATCTCTCCATCCGAAGACAATGGCTACCAACATTCTGGTTTGGTTCTTTCTAGAATGTATTCTCTGTATGTTTCTTTCTATATATATATTGATTTCAGAGAGGAAGGGAGAGGGGGAGAGAGGTAGAAACATCAATGATGAGTCATTGATCAGTTGCCTCTTGTACGCCCCACGCTGAGCATCAAGCCAGGCCTGTGCCCTTGACCGGAATCGAACCTGGGACCTTTACAGTCAGCCCACAGACCAATGCTCTATCCACTGAGCAAACAAGCCAGGGCCTCTGTGTGTTTCTTATATAGTGGAATCATATCATATGCACTTGTCTCCGTATAGTCTCTTCACGTATTTTAGAACTTTGACATGTGTGCTTAATATCACATTTAATGAGCACATATTATCCCATCATATCGACAAGCCATTATCAACCCCTCCTCACTGTCAAACATTTAGCTTGTTTCCAGTTCTGTAATGTTGTAAATACGCAGAAATGTCACTGTGCAGACTTTTTAAAATACGAAGTTGTTTTCTTAGGCTGGATTTCCACATTAGTGAGATTGCTGGGTTAAAGTGAGTGAACTTTCTGGAAGTTTTGATACATGCTGACCCACTTTCCAAAAGATGACTCCAGTGTTTACTGCTGATTTATGAGAGAACCGTGCCTCCTCCCTCCCTCCCTCTCTCTCTCCCCCCCCCCCCCCCCCCTCTCTCTCCCTCTCCTCTAATTTTTGTTCAAAAAGCCTTTGCCAACATGGGGAGTGGAATGCGGTGTTCCAGGCTTATTGTAATGTATCCGCTTTGCTCAGCAGTGAGCGTGGGCACGGCTCCACATGACTGACAGTAACCCGAGGCTCTTTATCACTGCGGCTTGGCATTTTTTTCTTGATGATTTTTGCATAAAGAAAAAGAAACGTGGGCCCTTGGTCCTTCATTCTCACCGAGGTAATTCCTCCCGGTGTGTCACAGTTCTTTAACGCTGGCTGCAGTTGTTTGTAACGTTTTGGACGTTTGAAAAAACTGGGCCACGCCAGCTCATCGTCCCTTTGGTGGCGCCTTCCGGCTGTTCCGAGGCCAGAAGCCTTGTGCCTGGAGCCTCGGCAAAGCGTCCATGTCCTCTGGGCCTTGTAGGACTTTTAAGTCTGTGCTAAAGTCCGTGTGGGAGTTGTTTTTTGTGGGTTTTTTTTTTGGGGGGGGGGGCGGGTAATAGCGGCCTATATGAAGCTCCATCTGTCCGCTGCCTCTCCCGCCTGCACTGCCCCAGGGGAGGGGGCGGGGAGGTGACCAGCGGTAGCGGGCATTACTGTTACCCAGTCCCAAGGGGCTTGGATAGTCCATTGCCACCCATCGATCTTGGGAACACGACACTGCACTAAAAAGAATGTGCTAGACCTCCACACGTAGACACAGAGAGATGCGATTCATTGTTCAGTAAGAAAAACAAGCCACAGCATAAAGGACAATATGGTGCCATTTGTTAAAATAAATAAATAAATAAATAAATAAATAAATAAATAAATAAAAATAGCCCTGGCTGGTTTGGTTCAATGGATAGAGCTTTATTGGCACACAACCACAGCCACGTGTGCATATGGTCTGTGGCTGCTTTCAGACTTTGAAGGCAAAGTTGGGCCATGACACCAGGGACCACCCGGTGTGCGAAGCCTGGCGTACTTAAGGCAGCTTGCTGCGCACAGGCAGGCCCAGGCGCCCGCGGTTCTGAGACTGGGTCACGCTGGTGGGGTCTGTGTGGCCCCAGGGCCTGAGCAATGACTGTAGGTCGCACTCACGTGAATTTTAAAATTGTGATAGCTCTGCATTCACTGTCACATGTATCAGAAGGAAAACAATACATAGTAAATCAAACGCGGTGTCGCGCTCTGTATTAAGACAAGATTAGGTACAGGAGCGAGTCGAATTCGGGAAAGGGGTCATCTTAAAAGGAGCAGGATGACAAAACCTAACGCGAACGGACGGAGGGCTGGGGCCTGGGTTCTGATCCGTCTGATGCCTCCTGACCGTGCCCCCCCACCCCCGCCTAGACTCTGAGGTGCGACATCAGCAGCCTGACCTTCCTGGACCCCCGCTGCCAGGCTGAGGACAGGGGCGACCAGCTGGTCCTGCACAGCACCTACTCCAGCTGCGGCATGAAAGTGACAGACAACGTGGTCAGCAATGAGGTAAGAGCGGGGGGCAGGGAGGGAGCAGCCTCCTGGGTACCCCCTCAGGCGCCTCCTCCATCTGAGGGGCGGAGGGCCTTTGGGGGAGGGGCGTGGTGCTTGGTAGGGAGCCGAGGTCCAGGCGGCCAGGGTTGGCTCCGCCTCCCCCTGTGTAAGCAGGTGACCTGGGTGGGGTCACTCTGGACTGACGGCTCCGTGGCCTTGTCTCTGCAGGTGGTCGTCAGCCTCCTGTCCAGCTCATCACCGCAGCGGGTGAGAAGGATGGTCACCGTGTGAACAGTTGGGCCGGGCCCGGGGTCCCTCCCAGGCCGGGAGGGAGCAGGCCTGAATCTCGCCCTGACCCTGGCACGCCCTGTGTCTTCCGCGGGCCCAGCCCCGCTCTGTCCGGCAGAAGCAGGACTGCGGAGGGTTATGTTCTCGGCCTTGCGAGTCAGCGGGTTCCAGCAGACACTGGCTGTGTGGCCTTGGGCAAAACACGTCTGCTTTGTGGGCCCCAAGGTCACGTGTGTGCACAGTGGCATGAGGACCCCGTGGGGTGCTCTGAGCAGCCACTGAGATGGCACAGGGAGAGCATTTCACACAGGCCAGGTCCGGAGCGGGTTCTGAATATTAGTTTGGTGTGGGTTTTTGTTTTAAATATATTTGTATTGATTTCCGAGAGGAAGGGAGAGGGAGAGATAGAAACATCAATGATGAGAGAACCATTGATCGGATGCCTCCTGCACGTCCCACACTGGGGATCAAGCCCACAACGTGGGCCTGTGCCCTGACCTGGAATTGAACCGTGACCTCCTGGTTCATAGGTTGATGCTCAACCACTCAGCCAGCCAGGCTGGTGTTTTTTTTAAAAGATGAGGGTGAGGGTCAGGCAGCGCCTCTGGACCATGACCCCTGCTCCCATCCCACCCTCACCTCTGGGGGCGCCTCCTGGCTGACCACCCCCTCCGTCTCCCGCAGAAAGCCGTGCAGTGCCTCCACACGAAGAGCATCTCCTTGCGGCTGGGCCTCTACCTCAGCCCGCAGTTCCTGCAGGCCTCCGACGCCATCGAGCTGGGCCAGCAAGGCTTCGTGCAGGTATGGACTGGACCTCCCACGCTGCCCGCTCCCACTGTTCATACAGAGATGAGAATTCAACTTTCCAGAGGAAGGAGGGAGCCGGACGGAGCGTGACGGAGGGGAGAGAAAAGGCAGAGCTCAGGGGCTCAGGGGCGGGAACTCCAGGGTGAATCTCGCTCGTCTCCTGAGAGCGGGCAGGGCGGAGCGTGAAGAGCTCTCACGCCCGTCCCCTCGCCCGCCTCCGCAGGTGAGCATGGCCCCGCAGAGCCGTGAGGTCCTGCTCAAGCTGGACAGCTGCCAGCTGGACCTGAGGCCCGAGGCGGACCCCGTGGAGCTCATCCAGAACCAGGCGGCCAAGGGCAACTGCGTGAGCCTGCTGGACCCCAGCCCCCGCGGCGACCTGCGCTTCAGCTTCCTCCTCCGCGGCCACATGGTGCCCACGCCCAAGGCCGGCACCCTCAGCTGCACCGTGGCCATGCGTCTCGAGACGTCATCCCTGGTGCGTGGGGCCTGGGCCGGGACCAATGTGAGGGTTTCGGGAAGGGACACGACAGTCCGGGGGGGGGGGGGGGGGAGGTGAGACCAGATGGCGAGGGGCAGAGCCGGTCAGGCGTGGCTCTTGGCTCTCAGGGGTGCTCCTGCAACACCCCCGCCTCTGATGACTCTGTGTCCAACCTTGGGAGGCTATGCAGCTGCAGCCGTCGTCCATCCATCCGTCCACCCACATCCCTCCCAGTCATCCGCCCATAGTCCTTCCACCATCCCAGTCCTCCACCCACCCACCCACAAGGCATGACCACCAGTGTAATCTCAGTGAACAGGAGGCCTGGGGGAGAGGGTTCAGACAGAGAAAACCTTCTGACTTTCTGTATTTATTAGTCACAGCGCTTCCCCGTCCAGTGGATCTCCTCTCAGGCACTCGGCCTGGACACACAGTCCTCCCAGGCCCTTCACACACAGGGTCTGAGTGTGTGGAACATTCCAGTAGCAGCCAGGATTGTCCCCAACACCCCTCCATAGCACAGTCTCCGGGGCCTGCTCGAGGGCTCCCAGCTGGAGGGCGGGATGGGATGCAAAGCCAAGGCTCGGGGTGGCTGGGCCTGGGGCCTGGGGCTTGGGGCCTGGGGCCTGGGGCGGGGCGTGAGCAGGAGGCGCCCTCAGAGGCTGTGCCCCACACGCTCTCTTCCCTCCCAGGAGGTCCGCAGGCCCGTCTCCATGCGCCTGAACATCGTCAGCCCTGACATGCCTGGTGAGCGCTCCCCGGTCTCTCTGGGGTTCCTGGCTGAGGTCAGAGTGGGGCACCACGGACAACCCAGAGGGATTGCCTAGGCTCATAGCACGGAGGACCAGAGAGAGAGCAGCCCCGGGCTCGGGGGCGGGGGGGAGCGGGCAGGACAGGGCTCCCCAGCTGCCCGGAGTCAGATCCACAGCTGCATCTCCCGGATGGAGACTCCTCTGCTCATGACCGCCCTGCGGGAGGGTCTCTGGACCCCACCTCGCTAGCTGACGGCACAGGGGGATGGGGCCTGCAGACTCAGGTCCGGATGGGACAGGGGACAGAAAGCACCTGGGGGGGCTGGCCTCACCGTAAGGCCCCCAGTGCGGAGGATGCCCTTCAGCCCAGCACCCCCAGCTTCTGTTCGTTCCCGCTGGGCCCAGGCCCCCACCAGACAGGAGAGTCCTGACCCTCCCTGGAGGCAGATGTGGGGGGTACCCCCCTCTTTGCCACCCAGGCCAAGCCAGGATGGAGCCCCGCTCCCAGCTCACAACCAGGAGACAGTAATCCCAGGTCACGGATAGGAAGTCAGGCCTGATCACACAGGGAAGAGCCAGGGGTGAGGAAGGAATGAGGCTTGGAAAACTCCAGAACTTAGCCCTCAGAGGTGGTCTGCCTGTCCCTCCCGGGGCACCGGGCTCAGAGGGGGCAGGGCCTGGCCCACAGTTACTCAGTGAGGAGGGACGGGCCCTGGATGCCCAGGCCCCACACTTTGCTCCGATTATGCCGGCCCCCTCAAACGCATCTCCCTCAGCCCGGGAGGCCTGAAGAGGCCCTCTTGGTGAAGGGTCATAGCGATCACACCTCAGTGCCAGGCGTGGCTGTGTGGACCCATTTGCTAGATGAGGAGACTGAGGTTGCTAGAGAAGTCAGGGCAGTGGGTGTGCTCCTGGCCAGCACAGGGGGAGGGAGCCAGGCAGGAGGCAGCGGCGCTGACCCCGCTGTCCCTCCCTCGGCCGCACAGGCAAAACCCTCGTCCTGCCCGCTGTGCTGGGCATCACCTTCGGCGCCTTCCTCATCGGGGCCCTGCTCACCGCTGCGCTCTGGTACATCTACTCGCACACACGTGAGTATCCCAGGCCCCCACAGGAGTGCTCAGGACCCCTCTGCCACCCCCCGGGGGAGCCCGCATCGCCTCTGGGGAGTGGGGGGCCCTGGCCGGGGCCCTGACCTCCGCCCCTGCCCCCAGGTCCCCCCAGCAAGCGGGAGCCCGTGGTGGCGGTGGCTGCCCCGGCCTCCTCCGAGAGCAGTAGCACCAACCACAGCATCGGGAGCACCCAGAGCACCCCCTGCTCCACCAGCAGCATGGCGTAGTGCCCGGCCCGGAGCCCCGGGGGCCGCCCGGCCAGCCCTCGCCCCGCCCGAGACACTGAGCGGCCACCAGCTGGGAGCCACTGATCATGAACTCACTCCGGGATCCCAACCCTCCTCCTCGACCAAGGACGGACCGTGCCCTCTGCCTCTTCCTCAGAGGCCTGCTGCCAGTGGGGGCACCAGCTTGGAGCACCCTCCACCACGCCCTGCAGACCCTTCAAGCTCAGTGGGCCTGGGGGGCGGCTGCCCGGGACCACAGAGAGACAGAGCGCTGCCCTATATGTCCACCCTGTTGTAGAAGCCCATGTCCCTGTTATCCCGAACTGGATCCAGCCCGCGATGACCGGGGCTGGGCAGGAGGTGAGAACTCAAAAGACTCTGCCCAGCCTCCTCCGGCCACAAGCGCCGCCTCCGAGACCAGCCTCGAGCCGCCAGGATCTGATCCCAGCAGCGCAGCTTTGGGCTGGCACAACTTTGGGGGGGCGGGGGGCGGGGGCATGGAAGCCGAGGAATGCCCAGCCTGGGTGCAGGGGAGCCTGGCTCCTTCCCGCACCGGTCACATGGAGACCCCTCCCCCCGCCCATCAGGATGGCAGCAGATAGGAGTGGCCAGGCTGCCTGACCTGGGCCCACCCTATATACTCATCACCAATAAATCAGACCATGAAACCAGTGCTGGGCCAGAAGGGAAGGGGCCCCTAAAATGATGGGGGGGGGGCAGCTCTGGGTTCAAATCCTGGACGTGCCACTTGCTGGCTGTGACTGTGGGCGGGTGCTGTGGCTTCGGTAAGCCAGCCCCGTTCCCTTGTCTGTGAGATGGGAATGAGAATTCTCGGTCACATGGTCTCTGGGGAGTGGTGCAAAGCAGTGGTCCACAAACACCAGGCCACTGAGGCTCAGACGGGAGGGGCCTGCCCAGGCCACACAGCCAGGCTCCTGCACAATCCACTTTCTGGGCCACCACAGCCCCCCGCCTCCTGTTGTCTGTGAGGGAGCTAGAGGTCAAAACTCAAATCAAAGATTTTCATTTAATCCAGCCACCCTCTGTCCCCACCGCCCCCAGGCAGGGCCCTCTCCTTGTCCAGAAGGCTGCTACTGAGAGGAGGGAAACTAGCGACCGACAGCTGGCGGGACCCTAGGCCTGGGCAGGACGCAGTCTGGTGAAAGCTAAAGCTGCACGGCCGGGCCTGCTACCCCAGGACCCGCCCCCCTCCCCGCTATCAGGAGGCAGGACGGAGAGGCCAAGCACCACGGGTTCAGAGACAGGATGTCCGATCTCCCCCTCCCGCCCACCAGCCATCCATTTCCCTGCCCAGAGCCCGGGCCCTGGGCCAGTCTAGAGGAATCAGGAAAGCAGAAAACAAGGCACCTGGTGTGGAGTCCGCGGAGAGGCGCAGGGCGGGTGTGGGAGGCCCCGCCCCCAAGGCCTCGGCCCGGCTACTGGGACAGGGAGGGGTCCAGCAGCTTCAGCACGCCGCCCACCAGGTGCAGGCTTCCCGTGACCAGCACATGGACGGCGGCGGCCTCTCGGAGCACGCTGGCCCCGCTGCTGGCCACAGGGTGGGAGAGGAGGTCCCGAGGGGGGCTGGGGGTCTGGAGGACAGGGTCCCGGCCCTGGCTGATCCACTGCAGAGCATGGGAGATGCAGCTGAAGACGAGGGAGCTGGCGCCGCGGGGGTGGGGCAGGCGGGGTGCCAGCAGCAGGGAGGCCGGCCCCCCAGCCTCCGGGCTGGGGGCGCTCCAGAGGTCCGGGCCGGCCGCCGCCTCCTGCAGGCGGCTCCAGTGCTGCTGGTGCTCCAAGCAGCGGAGCAGCACCTGGTCCAGGGTCACCATGAAGTTCTGCTGGTCTGCAGGACACGGGGGGGCGGCGCGTCAGCAAGGCGGGCGGGGGAGGGCAAGCACGCTGGGGACCCCTGCTTAACTCAGGGCCTTTCACCTGCACTGCCGGTCCTCAGAGCGGACACGATGAGGAAACTGAGGCTCAGGGAGGCTCGGTGGCTTCCCCAGTGTCTCCGAGCTGGTGACGAGCAAAGCCAGGCAGCTGAGCTCCAAGCGGGGGCTTTTGCCCACTGAGCAATCTCCCCACCCTCGCCTCTGCTCTCACTGGACGGGCCATCACGGGCCTGCATGAGCCTTTCCAGGAATGCTGGTTCCCGGGCTCTCCAGACTCCCAGGCGGTCTGATGTGGGGCCTGGGGAGCTGTATTTTTTATATCATTTCAAAAAAATTTTAATGGGACCCATTGTAAAAAAGAAATACATTTTACAATGGCAACCCAGTACTCACATATGTGTATATTATTGTCTGGAACAGAATCTTCAAAAAATAGTACCTGCCCTTACTTTGTGCAAGATACACAGGTATTTTCTATTTGATTTCACTTAAAGTAGAAAATGCTGGTGAGACCCACTAATTGATCTCAAGGGCCATCAGGAGGTTTTAACCTGCATTTTGGAAAAACGTTTTCCCGACAATTCCTTTTCAGTGTTGCAGCCGCATGCAAAATGTATCAAAGGATATTTCTACCATAAGACAAATCCAGCTCCTCCCCCAGCCACCATGCCTGCCACCTCTCACCTGCGTTGCCCACGGATGACACCTCTGTCAGGTTGGGGCAGAAGACAGCGTAGTCGAACTGGCAGGGCTGGAAGGCCAAGGGGTGAAGTGAGGTCAGAGCCCCAGGAGGATGTCCATCCCGCCCTGTCGTCCACGCAGCACAGGGAGTCCCCCCACGTCCCCCCTCTGGAGAGGCCCTCCGCTGGGGGTGCTGCATACACCCCGCCACAGCACCTCAGTGCCACCCCCTCCCCCAGCTCCCCCCTCCCCCAGCTCCCCCTGTGGTGGGGGGGAGGGGGAACAGAAGCTTGGGGGCGTGGCTACGGCTTAAGGTCGCCTAGCTACTAAACCAGGAATTAGCTCCAAATCCAGGCATTAGCCCCATTCTACAGTTGAGGAAAGGAGGTCCAGGGGGTGGGGTGCCGCCCAGCCAGAACAGGGCTGGGCTGCCTCTCACCTGCAGCAGCTTCAGCAGGGCCGCCGGGTCCCGGTCACCCGTGGAGTTGAAGAGCAGGACGCGCACCTCGGGCCCACTGCGAGGAGAGGGGAGTCGGGAATGGCCGCACCCCTACCTTTCCCGAAGAAACGATCCTCCCTCTACTCCCCGGCCCGCCCCATCCTTCCCGAGGCCCCGCCCCCGGACCCGGGCCCCGCCCCGCCCCGCACTCACCCCTTGCGGCGCTGCAGCGCCTGGCGGAACCAGCGCACGCAGGCCTGCACGCTGCTGCAGGTGTGCGCGCCGTCCAGGTACCAGGTGAGGGGCCCGCGGCACAGCATCTGCGTCCGGCCAGGCCACTCCGTGTCCCGAAGCCCTGGGGGACGGGCAAGGCAGCTCTTCACTCTCCCATCATAACCCGCACCCCTGTCTGAGCGCTCCCAGGAGCTCACCAGCCCAGCAGCCTGTGAGCGGTGCCAGAGGGATCAGCGATTCTGCTTCCTCTGATGGAATCTTCTAGGCAGCCCTCAGAGGGGCTACTGTCTTATATTGGCCCTTAGCTCAGAGAGATTAGGTCACAGAGCATATGAGTCTTGGAACTGGGATGTGACTCAAGATCTACCTGGCCCCAGAGCTGTCTCATGACCCTGACATGGGGCCTGGCACACAGTGGGCACACTGGAACCATTTGCTGAAGGGGTTTGACAGCCATGAGCACCTACTGTGTGCTGAAAGCTGTGGGGGAAGAAGCCTGACAAATATCACCATTCTTATGAATCTCATGGTCTTGTGATGACGATGACAAGGAGGACAGTGACAGCAGCTGCCACTGGCTGGGCACTTTATTCCATCTGGACAGGCTCTGAGCTCAGTCCCCTGGTGACATCACCTCACAGTGGGTCCTATTATAATCTCATCTGGCAGGTGGGGAAACTGAGGCTCACAGAGAGTTCGTGAACTCAAGGTCAAGGACGATTACTGACGTCAGAGTCCTTTCTCTTGGGCACCATATCAAACTGACCCCTCCTCTCAAAAAGCGAAGAGGGAGGAACATCTGAAGGGACCTGTGGGCAGGAGGGTCACTCACCATGCCGCATGGGGGCCGTGGGCTGGAACACGGGGGCCAGAGGCAGCTGACACAGGAGGCTCGGCCTGGACACTCTCAGCTCCCCAATGCCTGGGGGCAAGGGAGGGCGGTGTGGGCCGAGTGTTCTCAGGGCCCTCAGAGCAGGCTCCGCGTGTCCTGCCCACCAGCCTCAGAGGCAGGCTCCGCGTGTCCCTGCCCACCAGCCTCAGAGGCAGGCTCCGCGTGTCCCTGCCCACCAGCCTCAGAGGCAGGCCCCGCGTGTCCCGCCCACCAGCCTCAGAGGCAGGCCCCGCGTGTCCCGCCCACTCACCGTGGCGGTCCTTCCGCTGCAGCCAGCAGCGGGCCAGCTGCAGGGCCAAGGCGGCATTGGACCGCTGGTGCTCTCCCTCCAGGCCCAGGGTCAGCGGGGGGGCCCCGTCCTCCAGGGCGTCCAGCGGTGGACACAGGTAGAGGGGACACTGCAGAGGAGTCAGAGGAGCTGCTGCCGCCTCCCTGGGCAGGAGGCCCTTCCCGATGTGGTCAGCTCCCCCATCTTTCCTGCCGGCCAGAACCCAGCCCTGCTCCCCATCCGAGTGCTCCCGCTGGGCGAGCACCCAAAGGGGTGAGGCAGCAGCTCCCGGCACTCACCGAGACCTGCTCGGCGCGCTCCCTCAGCACCGCCAGGGGCCCGTCAGGCTGGGGCACAGTGAAGGCGGGGACGCCACGCTGTGGAGGACAGAGAGGAGGAGACAGGGCTGCTGAGGATCTCCACCTTCATCTCTGGCCTCTGCATTCCTGGGTCAGAGCGGCCCATCAGCCTCCCTCAGAGTATCAATGGGAACCACCTGATGGGGAGACTAAGCTTGGAGATGAGCCGAACCGGTTTGGCTCAGTGGATAGAGCGTCGGCCTGTGGACTGAAGGGTCCCAGGTTCGATTCGGGTCAAGGGCATGTGCCTTGGTTGCGGGCACATCCCCAGTAGGAGGTGTGCAGGAGGCAGCTGATCGATGTTTCTCTCTCATCGATGTTTCTGACTCTCTATCCCTCTTCTCTTCCTCTCTGTAAGATATCAATAAAATATATTTTAAAAAGAGAAAAAAAGATTGGAGATGAGGCTCAACTTGCTCAGTCACATGCAGAGCTCAGAACCCAGACCCCGCTGATGCCCAAGACCCTCCTGAGTCAGGACACCAAGGACCCTGCCCAGCCCCCCTTCCCTGAGCTTTAGGGCCAGGCCCAGGTACCTCCCTGCCCTGGGGCTGCCCGGTCACCTTGAAGATGCCCCCTTTCTGCCACGCGATCTTCTCCATCGTGTCCCCCAGGAGGCTCGTGTGGTCCATGCCAAGAGCGGAGACCCCACACACCACAGGCTTCCTGCCGAAGACGGAAGGGCCGTGATGCCCCCGCCCTGGGCCACCTGGGCCCGGCCCATCATCCCTCTCCCAAGCAGCCGCCCTCACCTGACTATGTTGGTGCAGTCATAAGCCCCGCCAATACCCACTTCCATCACTGCCAGGTCCACCTGCAGAGGGTCAGAGGGCATGGCAGGGGGTACAGGGCACCTGGAGGTCACAGGGGAGCCCCCAGCCTCCCCAAGGCCTTAGACACAGGGCG